TGAATTTGCTCGTTTATCGAGAGTAAATCGTGGTTTTTGGTCCTAACGTGTAGGAAGTTGGACCAAAGCGAGAGGGTTGAGTGTGACCGCTAATATAGAAGGTTTTTGATGCAGCTTGATTTAAAGGTGGACGCTCTTAAGTTCATTGGAGGAAATCGAGAGGGATTTTGTTGTGGTCGCTAAACTGGTAGGAAGGTTTGAGCCAAGTGGGAGGTTTAAACGATGCCTAACTGTAAGAAGGTTTGATGCGGCTCGATTTGTGTGCCTCTTCGTTTGCATTGAAGGAATGGGAGAAGGGGAATTTTGTTGTGGTCCTAAGTTTGACGCAAGGTATAACGGTGGGTTTAGTGCTTATGCAGCTTTATGTTGTAATGATCGGGTTATGCTAAAGAAAATTTACATGTAACATTCTTTCAGGACTTCCCGTTACATTGATTATCCACCCCGCAGGCTTTTCTGGGGCTAGAAACTGGGGTTTATCGATCGTATGCGGTTGGCATGTCGGGTTATCCTTAAGAAATACCACGCATGCAGCTCTCCAGGAAGCTCCGTGGAAGAAGGAAATAGTTTTAGAGCTCAATATACCTATTGGAGTATGCAGCGGAGGCAGTTTTAACCTCTTATACCAAGTCGGAGGTTGGAGAAGGCAAAGTTTATGCACTGAATATACTCTTCGGAGTCTTAAGAAGCAGTTTATACTCTTATAGCTTATCGGAGTGGTGCCGTCGCTCAAAAGCTGGCTTCACTTAGCGTTATGACGGCCGGCTTCAAAGCCAAGGTGCTGGATATCTATTAGCTGAGAGCAAAGCATAAGCCTGGTGGGATGAGGGACCCTCGCTGTGTATGGCAGCAGTACTTTTGGATGCGCGGGTCCGTGTTGTCAGGCTTGGCGCTCCTGATTTTGTGATAGGTGGTAGCTTGATCTTGTTACTTTCAAAGAGGGGATATCGAAGATGAAGCTGGAACGTTCTTGCGGTGCCGCTTGAAAGAGTACTCTTTTTGGAGCCTAGTGATGCCGAAGTCTTTCTGGGGCTGTATTGCCGGGATTGGGCTGTTGCGACGTTTTGATTAGCATGCACAGGCAGCTGCAGGTGATTTGGCCTTTACCGAGCGCAGAGGCAAGAGTTTCGAGTTCGGAGGATTAAGCCGTCGGTCGGTTCCCTGGCTGCGGCCTTTTCGTCTTGCGGGAGGAAGCGTTCGGCTTGGTTCAGCCGCGCAGCGTCAGTCTTTCCAAGTGTCAGACGCGTGCTGTTCCGGCATTGGCTTCCAACAAGTCCAGTGCAAGGTTGTTGGTAGGCAAGTCTGGAGACAATAAATTCCGCTCAGTGATTTGGGTTCGCCGAGCAATATGCATTGCCTTGTTCCGGAACCTTTTGAGCGAGGGTGTCGACTAAGCTCCGCTTTCCCCTTTCTGGGCGGGCTTCTCATCGACGAGCAATGATTGCCGATAGATATCTTCGGTATCGTCGTGCGAAGAAATTTGGTGAGGAACCTGGTCATCCATATCGTCCGCAGCTGTTGCACTCTACCTGGCTTGAGGCGGCGATAGCCAATCGAAGGCGGCTCGGCTGAAAGAGTGGCGGCGACGAATGACGGGCGCACCAATCCAGAGCTCATTGGTCGCTAAGAGATTACCCCAGGTGTTGATTTAGAAATAAATGCACATGGCTGAGTGGGCGAACGGCTTGCCATCAAATGGCGTGAAGTTAATGGTAGGTTGAACTTCAACCGGATATGGGATCGTTCCCACTCTGCTTGGGTAATGGAGCAGGGAATGGGCCTGTTTTCTTCGGGTCTCTTGAGCGGAGATCAATGTGTTGATTTTGCTCTGCGAGTTCTTGATCTTCAGACGGCTTGTCGCCTGTGTTTTGCGGTTCTGGAGCGGAGTGTGGGCATTACGACTAGCGGTGTAAAATGAAGTGTGCTTTCTTCATTATTGATTCCATTGGCCTATTCTTTAAAAATAACAACTTTTTGAGTTATCAAAGATCCGGTCTTTTATAGATCGGGCGGTTTTAGCAACGAAATCAAAAAATAAAGGAAAAAGATTACGAACTTTGGCTCCCTATTTATCGAACAATCGCGAGGCTCCTGTTTGTCGGTCACTGCGCTTTGTGGGTTCTTTGCCTGCGCCGGGGTTTATCCGTGACACCGTGTAGATCTAGATCCGGTCGGATCTACGCAGTGACGGGTATTATTCACCAAGAAAATAATAGGCCGGGGAGGATATAGTTCACCGGCAAAGGGAAATAATCGTGCCAAAATCTCGGGATTTCAAAGGGCGCAAGCTTTGATCGGAGTATGCCGCTGGCGTAGATCTGAGATCGCGGTCCTCTCGAAGCACCTGGCGTTATTTGCGTTGATGATCGCCGAGGCACTCGAGGATTGGATGAACAAGGTCCTCGAAGTCCCAAAGCTTGGATGCCTTTTTAAGTTCTGAGTCTTGAATCCAGCAGGGCTT